GGATAATTCAAGAAAAAACATGGTGTGACGTGTACTGGCAGTTACATAATATTATTAGGTTGCAAAAGGCAAATGAAAGAAAACTAAAATTCCATTAATAAAAACCTGATGGTTCACTACCATTTGGAATATTGTATTCAACTCTGGTCATTGCAAATAAAAAAAATTTAGAAAGCAATTCAGAGAAAGAGGAGGAGACTAATTAAGATGTGGTAAGTCTTGGCATTCAGAAGACTGAACAAACTGGGAACAGTTGGTTTAGAGAAGAGATGTCTGAGGGTGGCATGCAAAATAGAAGGTGATAGGACAAATTATGAATGTGAATGCATTTTCTTTCCCTCTACAAAGAGAGAGGAACATCAGTGAAACTTTAAAAGACTGTATTTTAAACTGGAAGATTTTGAGTGCAATTCCCTCCCCCCAGAATTTATTACCTTAATAGAACATGAAAATTTAGAACATTGTTGGGTTTAAAGTAGATTGGATATTTCAATGAAAACCCTTTTTTTCCTGAAAGCTATGCAAATTTTCAAGATTCAGAGGAACCCTAACACACCTTGGGAGCAAAGAAAACACTTGTGCTATTGGTGTTTTATTTCTGAAGTTGTATATTTCTGTTTCCAAAACATTCTTCAGGAACAATTGATGAGAGCCACTGGCCAGGGTGGAGTGCTGGTTTGATGCAGTCTCAGATTTCTCTCACTATTGGTAAAACCTTTTTCACTCTGTAAACCACTCATTTTCCAGTCTCTTCTCTGTCTCTCATTCTCTTTGATGCTAAGAAGGTAAATACACCTGCCACACATAAGAATCATAAGAGAACTATAACTAATTATTTTATTCACAATAAAGCAATGAGTATAGCATAAAGCTTTCCCCATACAACCATAAAATATATTTGTTTGTAAAAAATTCAATTCATTTTCAACCTATTGACAAGGAAGCAAAAAAGATCCTGTGATTCTCATCAAATACTCATAAGATCCTCTACTCTAATTCTTCCACTCAGTTTATCCCTTTATTTCAGTGCATTTCTTGTGCCTCATTTTATTTCTTTCTTTTCCTGTACATTTCTCTCCTTACCTTCCACCCAACAGGAGAGTTTTATTCTCTCTGTATGGTAAGTGCAGCCTACTAGTGGCTTGAATCATATTTTATATCAGTCTGTGTTATTCAAAATCTAAGTCAATCACTGAAGTTCAGTTTTTTCATCATACCAACATTCACTGGTGTGCATCTGTTCAATACAAAATAATTACTAAAGTTTGATTTTCTAACTTTCTACTTCTTCTTACACCTGCTTTTAAATAAACATATATTGAGGTCTTATGGCATGACTGGTGTTACTTAACTGAGCAAAATGTTATGACCTGCAATTTATTTAGCCAGCACCTATGGACTACATACAATACAGAGAGATAACACAGTTTACACTGTATCACTGTAAACTATATGCACTGTACGTATTTATATGAGCACACATATATATCTACATTTCAATGGATTATGGATCTCAGAACGTGAAAAGGCCTCACTCTGGAATCTGAATGCTGCCCAGACTAGCAGGAAACATTGAGCCTGTCTGCAATCTCTTAAATGTTTAGCCAAATACTGAAGGGGCTGCTACATGGTTACTTTTACCCTCCAGGACAATAAACTGCTGAAGATCATAGCATTCCATGCCTAAAACTCAACAGAATTTCCTACATACATAAGAAAAGTATAGTAAACAAAAGTCAGTCTTCAGTGTCTGTAACCAGTGGTTAGCTCCAGTGGCTAGCAGCATATAGTGGGGACTCTGACACATACTCCCTCTTTCTTTCTTGCAATATTTTCTTCTTCTTCTTTATGCACACAGATGCACATAAACAAGTAAAAACGCCAGTATACAACTCATTAAATAGTGAGAACGGTCTTGTACAGCCTTCCCGGGCATTGTGCACGGATTTTATGAAAGAGTCACTTTATTTGCAAGCAGAGGAATGTTTCTGAGAGGGGTAAAAGGCAAAAGAAGTGTTTGTATTATACAGAATTGGGTCGGGCAGGGTCAGCCAGGTCAGTCTTAACAGCAGTAATAATGAACTGACAGATGTGATGATTATTCACATCCTTAGAGGAAAACCACAGTAGTTCCAAACCCTGTTAAGTTCAAAAACACAGGTCAGATACCAACAAGTCAATTAAAATCTCATTGTGGAGACCTGTTTTTAAACTTTCAAGAAAATCAGAGATCTATTTACAACAGGATGTATGTTCAGGAGATGTCTTCCCTTTCACTTCAGGCATCTTGTAGTGGTTTGAACCTTGTTCTCCCCAGAGGCTAAGAGAAGTGGTAGACCCCAAGGGGTGGAAACCCCTGGAAGTTTTGAAGTTCTGCCCAATGGACGCTCCTGCAGAAATGTAAACATATCACAACCAGACCGGAAAAGAAGAGTTGTAGTTTTGGTTGTTGTAGGAGAGGTGGCCATGTTGTAGAGCCACGAGGAAGGGGCTCTGAGCCCCTTGGGGCCTCTGGCCCCCTTCCCAGCCCCTGGCTGGGGGCTGCAGGGACCTGGAACAGCATAAAGCTGGGCTAGGTGCCTGTAGTTATGCCGGGAGATGTTTTCTCCATGGGCACAGAGCAGCAGCCGACGCTGACCAGAGAAACAGTGGCAGAGAGCCAGAGATAAGAACCTGAACTGAAGAAGCAGAGAAGCAACATGCAGCACCAGAGAAAAGACTCCTGGAAGGAGAGCCGAGGAAAGGAGAGCCAGCAACTGAGAGCTACAGAGTTCTTGGGGGTAAGACTGTACCACACTCCCCCAAAACGCCCTTGAGATCCCTCTTGGAGAAGAGGGACATGGACTCCTATTTTGGAGAGCAGTTTTAGACATGCAGCACCGGAGAGAGAGGAGCTGAGAAGCTCGGAGCGTCCCGCAGCTGGACCGGGACGGCCAGATGGAATGTGGGGGGGCGACCTTGGCTTCCCCCCCCTTGCACTGCTGCCACGGTGGCAGCCTGAGAGACAGGGCACAGAGGCCCTGCAAGGAGCTTGAATCTCCTGGAGATACCAGACCGTCACGAAGACCCCCCTGTGTCTTCGTGATATGACGTGGTGATACGACCTTGTCTGGGGTTACGAAGTCCACGGAAGACCCCTCGGTTGTGAGGCGATGGGGCCGGGGGAGCTTGAATACCTCCCTCGTGGATGCTGGCAGAAAGCCAGCTATCAGCTGCTGCATGCATGAGAAGAAGAAACCTGCTGCCTCAGAGGATGCTGCTGTTTAAGGACTGGAAGGGATCTGTCCTTCTTTCCCTCCTGGACTTTTATTTGGAGGAGAGAAGAGATCTGATCCATTGTAAATACATATGTCATGGTAGAGATAGTTTGTGATCATGTGTATAATGTGATATGGTATTTATTTGTACAGTCATTGTAATATATTCCCTTTTCCCCACTTTGAGTCTGGTGTGTTTTGTCTGGAAAAACCCATCTCACATTAGGTTGAGATGTGGGAGGGGGAATGGAGCTAGGGAATTGGATGTTGGGGCTATCTCAAACCATGACACATCTGTTCCCCTCACCTCCCTTATCTGAAATTCTTAACATCACCTTATATCATTAAGGTGCTCACAAGCTTTTTATTCTGAAAACTTTACCAGGTTGTTGTCACAGCTAATTTCCTACTATTTCCGTAAAGGGAACTCCCAGCTTCCCTTCCAAAACACTGCTCCACCATTCCCAGAAGAGAAAGATGCTCATGTTGCTTGGTTCCTGCCTGTCTTGTCAGCAAGTTCACCCCTTGCTTTTGTTGCTTCCCCACACAGAAGACAACGCAGCAGTAACTTTCCTTCTGTGCCCACACAACCTCTCAGTCACATTGCTTTGGAAGACAGAAGGCCCTATGACATCTGTGTTATGACTCTTCTCTACAGTCAGGACATGATTGTAATTTTCTACATGTTTCTGTTGTATATGACACGTCAGGCAACCCTATCAGCGTGCAGGCTCCTCTATCCACAGGCAGGTGGTATTAACACAAAGACTACACCTTATTTTTGCTTTCTTATGCTTCTCTAATAGGAGGTCTGATGAATAAAGTGACTGAAGGTAAATGTCACAGTTTAAATCCACACAGCTGTTCGCTCACTCCCCCCCAGAATGGGATGGGAGAGAGAGAGAATCAGAAGGGTAAAAAGAAGAAAACTTCTGGGCTGAAATAAAGACAGTTTAACAGGTAAAACAAAAGCTCCATGCAAAAGTAAAGCAAGGAGTTCATTCACCGCTTCCCATGGGCAGGCAGGTGTTCAGCCAGCTCCAGGAGAGCAGCACCCCATCACACTTAACAGTGACTTGGGAAGACAAACACCATCACTCTGAACATCTCTTCCTTCTTGCTTCCTCCCCTAGCTGTATGTGCTGAGTGTAATGCAACAATGGTATAGAATATCCTTTGGATTAGTTGGGGCCAGCTGTCCTGGCTGTGTCCCCTCACAACATATTGTGGGCCCCAGTCTGCTTACTGGTGGGGTGGGGTGAGGAGCAGAAAAGGCCTTGACTTTGTGTAAGCACCACTCAGCAGTAACGAAAACATCTCCGAATTATCAACACTGTCTTCAGCACAAATCCAAAACGTAGCAACATACCAGCTACTGTGAAAAAAACTCTACCCCAGCCAAAACCAGCACAGAAAGCAACCCTAAAAGCAATGGAGTTTATAATCTGCAGTGAAAAGCCACTCACTTGTAGAAAAGCAAGAATTCCCAAACTCATTTAAAGTGAACTCAGAACGCAGTTTTAACTATGAATTGTGAGTAGTACATACAAAAGTAACTCACAAGATAACATAAAGATCTTAAATGTTTTCAGAAACCTACATATTCCTTTTATATCTTAAGTTGAATGCGTACACCAAAATTCCTACCCTATATAATGCATGAATTTACACAAATAACAAAAATGAATACATAGGAAAAAACTTTTTTCTGCAAGTTCATAGAAAAAAAGGCAGATTACACACATTTCAGTAATGGTTTCTGGAAGGTTTGTTGGGATCTCAGTAAGGCCTTTCCCACGACAGTCCACAATGTTGTTACTACAGGTGCATGCAGTAGGGCAGTGCAAGACACTGCAGGATGGAGCCATAAAGGACTGGTGACCTGCAAAGGAAAACACTTTACATTTACTTGAAAAATCTAAGGCAGAACTTCTAAAATATACATTGTAGCCTATCAGTACTTTCAAACTGCATTAATTTAAATACACAGTTAATTGTAACATTCAATACTGAGAGATTAAAGACAAATGCTCAACTACTGTGCTAGCATTACATAATTTTTCAACTGCTTTAGCAACACCCATAAAAAATCGTTTCATCAAATAAGGCTAAGTGTGATCTATATTTCAGGTATATTTTATTTATTGAATGCTATTAAAACCTAATTACTGATTTATTTAGTTTTCAGAACTTTGTGTAGTATTAAAAATGCATGTGAAGAGAAATGAATGAACTATGCTACAAGACCTGAAGGTGACCTGTCGTTACAGTTCTGTTCTGCAACTATTTATTTGAATATGGTCCTTCAGTTCTATATTTTGGAGTTGTGACATTTTTATTTTGTCTCACACAATAATACATAACAGCTTTCACACAGCTGTTATTCTCTCAGTTTTAGCTTAGCAGACTTCTTCCTCCCACAGTTGTACCATTCTCACTAACTCTGGTAGCTAATTTATACAGGAGTTCTTCCTGATTTCTTAGTGCTGTATGCTAAACTCAGCATTTTTAATTGCATTTAAGCATAATCACTTTGTATTTAGGTATGTTTTCTAAAGTAAAAAACTTATTATATTTTCCTGCAAATAGATAGATTGCACATTTTTAAATATATTATCATTCTTCTATCGATTTAATGATACGGAATAGCTGTTTTGTAATGATACAAAAAGACACAAAAGAATGAGAAAGGCATGATGCCCTCCTTTTCTTTCTTTTTTCATTAAGTTAAAAAAAAGCTAGGGATTGTTTTGAAATTCTCAGGAAAAAAAGAAAATACTAACTTCTTGACTATGAAACCACAATTTAATTTAAGATCACTCTCACAATACTTAATGTCATATATTAATATAGGAAGGGTACCCTGATAATGTAAGTTGCAGCTCCGTGCTGTTCCCACTTGCAACTTTATACAATAACTGCCCAAGTTTCAAATTGCTGAAAAGATTAGTCTTTTAAGGCCAGGTTGGATGGGGCTTTGAGCAATCTAATTTGGTGGAAGGTGTCCCTGCTCATGGAAGGGGAGCTGGAAATAGATGATCTTCAGGTCCCTTCCAAGTCAAATCATTCTATGATTCTATGAGATGGAATTTTACAATATAATAATTTGATTTCACATTTATGTATGTGTTACAAAAGTACAAACAGCTGCCAAAACTGATAACACACACTGCTCGTTTTCTACTTACAGGGAGGAAATGTTTCATTTAGCTTTATTAAATAAAAATACTGTGATCCAGGCAGAAAACATGGTTATCCCTCTTCCTAATAATAATTATAATGACCAAGTTATGACACCATTCGTGACACTCAGGCTCTGCAGCCGTAACATTTACAAATAAGATATACAAAATTATCTCATTAGGAGGCCTTTTAAATGTACATAAAGGCAGAACTAGTGGCAAGAATACTGCTAGCATTTGCCATGTGAAGATGGCAGTGCCTTACACTTTGATGTCAGAGACTGTTTAAAAAGGACAGAACACTGTGCTCTCCATAAACTTTTAAAAGCATGGATCTGTGCAAATTTTGGCATATTTGGCAATAGGTTTCTGGGGCTTTGCAGAAAATCAGCCAGTAGAAGAAACTCTGATGAATCACTGAAAAGACAGATAGCAATATTGCAGCGGGTTTTTAATGTTCTTGAGGAAACTTGAAACAGTAGACATAGTTTACAGAAGATTTTCAGTCTGAGTCTAAAAATATTTAAATAAGAAAGATAAACTTGCCTTCTTCCTCATCTGGAAGATATGAATAAAGGAAAAAAAATTGAATAGAGAAAATGTGATTAGTAATGAACTGTCAGTCATTTCATTATTTTATACCAAAAAATAACCTGATGCATTAAAGCATACCAATAAAATTCAAAAAGCTACTTAGGGATTCAAGATAGTATTTAAATGGCAGAAAACAACAACAAGAAAAAGCATCAATCTGTAAAGTTTTTAAAAAATAATAATAATATTTCCTTATTAGTAAAGGCTTTATGTTCTCAATAAGTGCAGCTTTTATTTAATTTCCTGCATCTGTCCCCCATAATTATACCTTTAGAAGGCTATACAATCTGTGTGAATGCAGCATTTACACAAAATTTTTAAGGACAGAAGCACCCCCACACAAGATACAAATACTCATAAAAATTATTAAGGTTTTTTTTTTTAATAAACATTAATTCTTTGATTACGCAAAAGCTAACAAAAGCCAACATGCAGCACTAGAACCACCACTGAGCAGTTGGTAGGTGTGTTTCAAAACAGGACTGGATGAGCAAATCTATTTCCCTTACCGCTGCAGACAAACTCCCGTTTTTGGACCTCGGCCACGTTGTGCCCCCGGAGGTGGGACGGCCCCATGCACTGGGTGTAGAGCCCGACCCGCGGCCGCTGCCGCAGCCAGTCAGACAGCCAGGCCAGGTGGCAGTCACAGTACAGGTTGTTGGAGTGAAGACGACTGCATGGAAAGACACATGCCAATATCTTCAAATTAGGAAGAACAAACAGAAAAGCAGCCAATCTGCCCAGCCCTCCCTCCAGCAAGCAACTATGCCAATTTATTAATACAACTGTTAATGAGGAATCGATTTTTTACATCTTTCATTGAAAGTCTGGGAGTTACAAGATAATAAAGAGAACGATACAAGCAGGAAAATTTACAAGCAGGAAAATTACTTTTTGGTTGTGGCCTAATTAATTGGAAGAAAAAAGAACACTTCCTAATAAATTAACTTATCTGTAGTTGCCTGTCTCTTGTCTAAAAGAAAGAAGTAAATACACAAGAGCTTGAAAGCTGCTGTGGGAGTCTTTAGCCCAGACCTGTACAAATAGTGAATAAGACAAAAATGTCTCAAGAAAATTGCCCTGTGGTGATAATACACTGTCAGAAATAAGAGTTAATAAAAGATTTGGTTTCCAATTAGATATATCTGTAAGTCAGGCCATTATTAGTCTCTATAGAAACACCCTGAAAGATCCCTGCAACAGGTCATACTCATTTTCTGCTGAACAAGATAGAGTAATAACTCAATATAAAGCACCTTCTTTCACATCTCTTTTCTGATTTCTTCTCTTTTTGTTTAACCACAGAAAGTGGTAGTAGCTGCTTTTGGCTACTAGGGACCCATGTTCTAAGCAATGCCTGAAATTAAAAGACCAAACGAAAGCAAGTGATGGAATTAAGGAGGTTGTCTCTCTGTTGCAGTGGTCTGACACAAGACCATGGCTCCTTGCCAAGTGTCAAAAAGCACTTTGCCATTGATAAAATATCAGACAAATGTATTCACTAAATTAGGTAAATTACTCTTCCCTAGCTCTTACATTTTCTCAAACTACAGAAAAGGATGTCCACAGCTATAAATCAAGTCGTTACTCAGAATCATCCATAACAAGGTAATGCCCTTTTGGTCCTTTTTAGTTGATGTGCTCAATCCTAACTAAATAACTGGAAAGGAAGTGCAAGAAATTCAGAAAAGGAGTTTAATTAATCCATTGTAAAATAAATCTTCAAAGCAACCTGAAATGCGTAACCAACATGACCAAAAATATTAACAATTCCCCCCCCCAAATGAGTAGAAATTAAAGGCAATATATTTTCCTGTACTAATCTTGGGTTGGTGCTTTGCAAATATAGCTAATGATACAGCACAGTCATTCTGTGGCCAGCTGTAGGCAAGAACATCATTGCAAATCAGAACTAATGCCACTGAAATCAATAGTTATACAAGCATATTCTGACTGTAAATGGGATGTCACAGCGATAATCTGTGTCTAGTTTAATTTGTTTCTAAAATATATTTTCAGAAGATGAAATATCCCAACCAAAGAAAATAAAAATATTGCTAATTTGATTCACTGCATTTTGTGGTTCAGAAATATCGTATTTTATACCAAGACAATACTTCAAATTGTATTTGAAGGTTTGAAAGAAGTACAGACATGATTTTTTTCAAGACTCAGACCTGAAAGAATGAAATTCTATTAACAAAATCTCGCTGAGGCTGCCAAATGCCCACGGTCAGCACTATTTAAGTGGTTTTGTGTTTGTCCAAGCAAGAATAGTTACAATTCTGTTATGAAATCCACAGAGCTACTCACCTGTATGAAGTTTCTTCAGTTACAAACAGTATGTTAACTCAGGTGAATATCCCTACTGATTTCAGAACAGTTGTGCAATCCAACATGCGTAAAAGAACCTGGAGAGACCTTTTGTAAAAGTAGTTCTTTAACAGTAACAGTTACTCTTGACTTCTGATAGAAGCATCCTACTCATTTTTAACTCCCGTTTCATTGGAAAATCTGTTTGAAAGTGAGTCTCAGGACTAAACCTTGATATGTTCTGGTTTTGCCACTCAACACAACATACATTTATTCATAGTCAGGATAAACATACCAAAAAATAATTGCAACTCCTGTCACCTGTATACACACTCTTAACCGTGCTTTGTTTTAGAAGACTAAAGTGTTCCCCTTTGAAAGTCATAACCTCTAAAAATGGGGACCTTATTGTAAATGCTGACACAACTTTAATTATAATAGTACAACCGGATGATGCTATAATTTTATGTTACAAAGAATGTCGGCGAGCCAGTTTAGTTTAATTAGGTCTGCTAGCAGTACAGTAATAAAAGCATAAAGATTTCCCATTTATCACATCTGACAGTCAATCAAAGATTCTCCCATGTTCCTAAATGAAATGTGACCCATTCAATAGCTCAAAGTAAAACAAATTCTTGACTTTCAAAAAACATCAATTTATTTCTCTATATAGCTGTAACATGTAAAGGAGAATTCCCCCTGCCTTCGTGTTTTTTTGGTTAGAAGGTGAAGCTTTTCTATAACTGAATACAGCACTATGGAAAGTGATTACCACCCATTTGGGAAGAGGCCAAAAAAACATTTTTGTAGACTTATTCATCTCACATTTTAAAAGAGTTGATGGAAAAGGATGCAACCACTCCTTTATCTCCTGAGCCCCAAGTATAGCTTGTTAGGTTTTCCTCTCAGAATCAGCTTCCATAGACACACATAGAGACTTCACACTCATCAACCTCATGCTACATCAATACTTTTCAATTGAGTTCATGCTTGCTTTGCCCATATACGTATTTTTAGACACCTGACAAAACTTGGCAGAGGTAAAAATATATCCTGGAACGATAAAAATAGCAGCCAGTTTCAGTAGGACTACTCACAATGTTCTGAGTTTGGGCATATGGTTGAAACTTGCCACAGACAGCCGAGTGATGTTGTTATTGTTGAGAGTGCTGCAAAGTCAAGAGGAATCCTGTTAACATATTACAGTTATGTCACATTTACTACACTTTTAAAAAAGGCATAACTAATGAAATTCATGGTGTACTGGTTTTAGGGATGGACATCAGGAAAAAAAAAAAAAACACACGTTTAGCTATATTTTTCCTCCGTGTTGATTTCCTAGTAAAATATTATGGGTTTACCATTAATAATCCTAAGTAATCTGAGGTTCCAGTAGCCTATGATTCTCTGAAAAGGAAATTCCACCAATGTTGAGAACATCTATGGCATTCAAGCTAAACTTGACACGCTGATGTAAAAAAGAGAGTATTTAGAGAAAATGTCTTGGTTCTAGGACTCCGATTTCTCTTTCTAGCTTCTGAGAGTCCATTTTTTGACAGATGATACAAGATCTGAAGGTTTTTGCCCAAGAATTTTAGGAAAATATTGAATCTGAGCTGCAGTTAGGTTTTATATGGAACAAGTTGCTATAGATGATCCAGAGCTACATGAACAATAGGGGAGTTTCTGCTATATGATGAAAGGAGTCAGGAATAATATAATACTTTAAAAATCTAGTAATTTAAATTTAGGACAAGGTGTTGAGAACTTGAGATAGGAACTAGAAATAAGTCTTAGCCCATTGTTGGCTAGCTCAGGCCCATCATACTTGGTATGTGTAGTTTGTAAAGATTTGGAAACTTTATGAATGAATTTGCAGTAAAATACTGTCTTTAGGCTGCAAATAAAACGCAAACAAGCTTAACTCCAGAACAAGGAAGCAACAGATAGAATTTACAGTTTTGACTTAGTGATTACTCATTTGAGTAGAATCTATATAACCATAACAGTAATAAATAATAATTTCCACTGAAAAAAGGTTATTTTTTTCTTTTGAAACAGAAAGTATTTTTCTTCTTCCTTTTGTTTTTTAAATCACAAAGTGTAATTTGTGCTTATTTTGAATAAATTCTGAAGTACTCTCTGATCTTGAAACACAGAAAGGTAAATTCATAGCACCCTGAAGAGGATCAGGCTATATACCACCACATTAACCAAGCAATTAATTACTGGTGCAATGTGCTGCATTTTACCTTTGTGTGCTTACTCATTCCATGTCCTAAATCTTTTCTTTGCTGAGCATAAGGGAACTCCCCTGTGTGTTCTTGGGGCTACACAAACAGAGAGGAGAAAAATGGAAAAAAAAAAAAAAAGAAGGATTTTGCCCTTTTTCAAAACATAACAAAGATGAAACAACAAAAAATGGCCAAGTGGGTAACTCCACAAAAGGTGTCTTAATGAATTAATGACAGTCATTAAATCTTGGTAGAATTTTCTTTCAGTGTTCACATGGTAAATGACTGCATAATTTCCTATAAGATTTTAAAATCCTGTCTTTTCAATGAAGGGAAATCAGTCCATATTTCCATAGCAATTAAGAGAAAGCATATCTGCAAATGTTTTAATTTTCAATTTGAACTGTTTGATGTTTGCCTTGGCGTTTTGTGTATTTGAGCTACTAGTTTATTTTTGCAAGGGTAAGAAAAATTAGACATAAGAGTAGATGTGAGGGATACATAAGAAATTAAAAAACTTTTATGGCTGTTTCTATCTAATGATAAAAATGTTTGATTTCATTACAGAGATTACAGTAACCAAAAAAAAGTTGGCTCAGTACTTTTACCTGTTTTACAGGTTACTTATAGCAAAGATCATGATGACTTTTTTCCCATTTCTTAGACTTTAATTTTTTTTAACATGACACCACTATATATCTTCCTCATAATCTGTTTCCGAAATACAGTAGATTTTCCATTAAAAAAAAAAAAAGAGAAAGGAAAACTGAAACTTCACAGAAATTCACGGAGATGATTACACTTCTAATTGCTTTTGTCTTTCAGGTTATGTTGTGTCTTTAACACTAACTGCCTCTAAAGTTCTACAATTATTTAACCACTATATAAAACCTGTTACTTTGGTAAGCATTTCAAACTGTCACTAAACAGGATTAAAACCTATTTAAAAGCTTTACCTCATACTTGAAGTTTGAAGTAATATACACTTTCTGTGTTTAGATAGAATAATTAACTCCAAATGAAAACAACATGCATAGTCCTATTTGCTACTCAGTGCATATACAGAATGGTCTGACCTACACATCTTTCATTCTTTAAGCCATATTGGAAAAGAAGCTGAATTAGACATAAAATCTTTGGTACTGTTAGAAATATCTAGTTCAACTTTTTTAAAAAAACCTGAATCTTTACATCATTTCTCATCACATACTATAACTTAAGATAGTGAAAATTTAGTTGTATATTTGAACAATGCTTACATGCTATGTATATTCATTCACAAAAGTCTACCTACCTACTTTCCAGCAGATTATTATTTTAGAGTTTTTTTCCTCTTTTGCACTCATTGAAATCAATTTAAAAATTTTACCACTAACCTCAAATAGCAAGGATGACCTTTTTAGAACACTAAAATGGCAAGCATTAAAAAATGCAGAAAACATTTGATTTTTTTTTTAATAAACATTTAACAATTGCGTTTGTAAAGAAAGGCTTGTATTAAAAAAACCACCATAATAACCAGATTAAGCCATCACTGGAAAAATTATTCTGTCACATACATGTGTTCCAAAGACAAAAATCTCAGAGAACATTGGGTTTACTGACAGACAACCAACAATTCATCATCTTAACAATTAGATGCAGTATTGAACCTATAGTACGTTTTACATGGCTTTATACCAGACAGTTAACAATAGGCTTGTTATTCTATGAGTGCAAAGAAAAAAAATAATTCAATTAAGCTGCCAGTTTCATTCACTCGTAAGTAAGACCAACTAGTGCTTAATAACAAAAAACTTTAGCACCAGCTGCTTACATACTCTTTAGTTGCTTGGACATGCAGACACTATCTACTGCCAGAGAAGCTTCTTTACTTCAGAAAAATTTTTATAAAAAGCAAAACCTCAGACACAACAAAACCTGCTCCCTCATCCTCCTCCAGTTGTGATTAACTGAGTGATTCAAATAAACATGAAGTAACTCACTGATACACAAATTCTTTTACTTCTCTTAACGTAGAAAATCCAGAAAAAATGTGTAATTTTGACTGACAAAGCAAATATTTCAGGAATGTGTCCTGTGCCTCAGATTCGCAGGGAACAGAGGCACTTTGCTCATTACAGTGATATTCTCAGATGAGGGGTCACTGATGATAATTTCGTTACCTTTAACTTCACTGATAGCCACTTTGAGACAGTGAGAAAAAGTATGGAAAGGAGTATGGTAAAAATAATCTTCTGTGACACACAAAGAAGATATTTTGCTAAACATACATATGTATTTATGCACATAAAACTTAAAATGTTTTAAAAAAGAACTATTAACACGCACATGTTAAATATCTTGACATACAGCAGTAGTGCTTGATAGAAAATGCCTCTTTGAAAACATTCAGATTATCAAATATACATAGCATATTGTTCCTTAAAGAGAGTCTGAAAGATCAGATTGATGACAGAATATATAACAAAAGCAATCCTGAAAATGTTCATCACATCAACAGTGATGGATAATTTACAAAATTAATTGGGTTCATTAATACTGCTGCCTTCCCCCTTTTGTGATGAAATATATTATTTTCTTATAGTATCTGCCAATAGCTTTTTTTTTTAATAATTATGTTTAATGGCTGTCTTGCAGCGTAAAGGCGTATCTTTCCCTCTCCACATCTTTTTACCATTTTATAGCACATCACAGTGGATTATTTTAAGACATCTTTTCACCAGACCATCCTGACACCAGGCTGCAGCTCGCAGATAAGCTTCTACATTAGTACTCCCCAGACACTGAGCTCTTGCTACAAGTAAGAGATACAAGGAATACTTACAGCACTTCCAGGTCACGCAGAGCCCTAAATGCCCCATCTTCAATACAGCTGATCTGGTTGTAATCCAGTTGCCTGTTAAACAGATTAGGAAGGCATTTGTAAGGGAGAGGCGCGCTGGCAAGGCGAGGTGCAAGGGAAGCCTCCCGAAGGGCCGGCAGAGCAAGGCCACGCGAACAGAAAGGCTCTGGCCATCCCTCCCGTCCGCTCGAGGCTGTCGCACAGCGCGCCGGCCTGCACGCTGCCACAGAAATCCCTTTTTGTTCTCAACTGTCTGCGCAAAACAGCAGCGCTGGGAAAGCTCCAGTAAATAATAACTGCACCTTATATTAAATGCCAAAGGAATGCAATTTCATTACATCAAGAAAAGCTATCCATTAAAAGCTCTCAGCGTCATCTTGCTGAAACAATTTCATTAAGGTAAAGGACGGTAAATCATTTAATGTCACACGCATCCCCTCGGTGACCTAACAGAATCCATTTATCAGAGCAGCCCAGCTGCATGTTAATTTCTTCTGCCATGGTAGAGACCAGGGAGAGACACTACTTTTAGGGGTCTCCCTGCATGCAAGACCGGGTGGGAGGTGTTACCCCCGGGTGTGTGCAGGGATTTAGAATAATAACCTCCTAGAATATGTCTGTATGTAGAAATAACACTGTCCAAGGCATTTACGGACTTGTTTACTTATCTCCTTTAATTCTGCTCCAACTGAAAGTAGTGTGTCTGCTGTAACCTTCAACATATGGTTTTCTACATACTCTGTGCTCTCTGCAATTATATGCAGATAGTATGTTGTAATGGAGTATTCAAAATCTAGACATAAAACTCAGCAACACACCCCATACATTATTAATTGTTAAGTATTAAGTTATGAAAAATTTAGATTCGTTTCTCTGAAGAATATTATTACCTTTTCAATTCAAAACATTTATACAGCACATACAGCTCAATTAAAAATGTCTGCTTAAATTAACAACCATGCAAATACAAAATCACATTTTCTCTACTGATAAAAGCTTTTCCTATATATACCGCAATGCATTTCAGGGCATGATTTGCAAAGCAAAGATGATAAAACCTCACTTTAAACAACTTCTTCAAGCTGGTAGCTTGTCAGTGTCAAATAATATATATGAGTAAATGTGTGTGAACAATACCAAGACAATGAACAAAATACAAATGAACTCTGCCCTTCTGTCTTCAATTATATATTAGCTAGCAGGGCTAATGACGCTTTTACTAAAGCATTTTCTGTGATTCTTCTGAATCTATGATAACATTTTACTTTATTAATAAATCATCACACCCGCTGCTGAATGTAATGTACCAACTTCTATAAAGTTCTTCTAGTTTCATCAATACTTTTCATCTGAATTACTACTACATAGGACTAAAATATTGTCATAACTGTAACAGTGCCTCTATGTCTGTGTACTGAAAGCTAAATGTAACCTATTAGTTCCTGAATATGATCTTTAATCATTGTGGTGCAATGTTACAGCACCAGAGCTGCAGTGTCGGAATATTTAAGCCTTCAATATTTACTAATGAATTTCATTTAACAATTAAGCTAATAGCCCTTTTATTTTAAAGAGGTAAAATATATACAGAGTACAATTCTATAACCCCTTGAACAATTTATCAAAGCTATTTAAATTAGTACAATGGCATGAAATGTTACCCTTGACACAATACAAAAGAGAAATTGTTTCCAGACAAATTGGAAAAATCTTTTAATGCCATCAAATTTGCCTAATGCAGTCTGCAGGTTAATCTGTAAAAGGGTGAGCTGTATGTTTGCCCATATCTTATTATCCTTAGTTGTCAATGTATAAATCAGTGCTGACACAGCTTCTTCTAAATCATCCATATTATACACAAAGGAAAATCTTTTAACAGTGGAGAAAGCACTTGAGCAAATCTTGCCCTACACAAACTAAAAGGCAGATTTCTTCCACAAGACTAGCAGCACTTGTGGTGCACCCGAAAACTTTTGGACTTCTTCCTTTAATGAGTCACCATGATCACTATCTTAGTGAAGGGTGAGTTGCTTCCATTTAAACCTTCTTACCAGAAAGATTACTATGTTTGTTCTGAACTAATGAGTTGGTTTTTGCTTGCGGAAGGGAATTTTGGAGATGGGAGATGAGAAATATTTCTTAGTTTTAAAAATTACTGTCTTTGAAAGCTACTACTCTCTTTATGCCATCAGTTACAACCATGATACAAAACAATTAGACACAGAGTATGAAAAACAATTGGTATGAGATATTTTTTTTTTTTTTTTAGTTATGAAAAGGACATGACTTTGAAGACTGTGTGCCTGGCTTGAACAGCAATTTAGGGTAGAAGTAAAGTTTAAGGTAAGAATATCCACTGCATATATGACCCAGACAGAAAGTTAGACAATATTTCACAACCAGCATAACAATAACTTATAATGTCCCTCTAGCAGATATACTGAAGCAGTCTGAATTTTTTTTATAAAACTGGTTCCTGATAACAAGTTATGTGAGTGCTATGACGTAACACATAAGCAAGAATACTAGAATAAAAAGGTACATGCTTCTTTAATTTTAAGTTGTTTTATAATTTAAGCATAATGACTTTCAAAACCACACCTAAAAATCTACAATACCAGCACCAAGTTATTGAGTATACCAATAACCTTAACACCATTTTAGAAAGCCTTTTTTTCCCCCAAGAGCTGCTTTTCTTCTTTTCAAATCATTAGAACAGTCTAAGAACAGAGTCTGATCAGACATGGACCAGCAGCTCCAGCCCATTCTCATCCTTCCTCTCTCTCTAGTCTTCCTTCATCATCTTCCTGCCAGTCCTATCTCCATTCTGTGTCTTTTCTATGTGGGATCTCTCCATAGTTTTGTAAAGATGCTGTTCCTTTCTGCCTCCAACCTTCACAAAGCATCTTCAGCACTGCCATTCCCATGAAGCTCATAAAACACAAAACAACTGTCTCGCTCAAAATCTTTCCGTCATTGCAAAGAATTAGTTGGATTTTACACCCATATCTGCAGCATTACCTGGGTATTTAATATACTCACTACTCTACCGCTACTTAAAAGGTTAATGTCTATGCGAGCTCAGCAATAAGAAATAGTAAGAACTAAATAAAAAGCATTCAACTAAGCTTAAAAATGCTTTTCATTTATTGCTCTTGCTGATACATCTTGCATTGTAGAAACATATTGCTAACTTATATTTTCTTCCCTTTTAGCAATGTTGTCTACCAGATAATGATAAATAAATATCTTAAAATAAACTTTGTTATCCCACAAGAATCACATTTAATGACTAAGAGAAGATATTGCATACATTTAAAAACTACTACTCTCATACAGAAAAAAACTGTCATCTGATTCTTGACAGAGAAAACCTTCTTTACTCATTTCTAGAGGCTGTTGAAAATTGGGACAATTTCAAACAATTTCTCTGCTTTACTCTCCTGTTTTTCACAGCTTGAGGACACTTTGTAGTCCTGTGCTAGAGAGGTACTCCTCAGCTTTACCTTCTTCTCCTTTGTTCGGAAATTATTACGTTCTCCCCGTGTATCAACTTAATGATAAACTCTGTTTAAGAAGTCATCAGAAAAAGTGAGAAGCCTTTCTACATCCCTGCAATAGCTTTCTCCCTAGAAAATATTTAGAAAAAGTTTTAGCATATTGTGTGCTGGATTTCACAACAGTAAAGTCTTTCCTTGAGTGCACAATATTTATCACCACAATGCAATTTTTGGAAACAGTCACTCTTTTTAATGTCTCCTTGTATTTTTTACAGCAGAACCGAGTTGTTTCTTATTTCTTACTTCCCTTCTCCAGTTCAAGGTGAATCAATAATTTGACAGATTAGTTGAAAAAGACGTAACAAAATCATGCAAGAATTTATTCTTTTACCAAACTTCAAAGAACTGCTTGTTTCCCATGACTATTACTATTTATTTTGATTATTCTTTCATTTGGAAGTCAAGGGTCTTTTTTTTCTACTTGCTCTTTATTTTACTAATGTAGTTAATTTTGTTCTTTACTAAATTTCCCCTACAAAACAGTTCAGATGAATATTTTTTCTTAATATACATAATAAAGCAAACTATTAACTTTTTCCTTTTATCTGAAAATAACAAGCAAGACTTGCAATACATCCAGGTAAACTATACTTACTAAATAAACTAGAAGAAAAGGTACAACTGATTAATTGTTTAATCCCCTCAAACCTGTCTAACACTCTACTTAGTTAAACCCAGAATTATCTTGCAGGAGGAAAATAAAATTGAAAAAAGTAAAAATTAAACAGAAGAATGCTATCCAAAGTAGAATGCACACAAAATGAACAATCTATATATTATGTGATGCAAAGATACTATCACATCAGTAAGAAATATTTTTAATGAAATAATGAAAATAAAACTTTAAAAATAGTATTGAAATAGTATTAATTTAAACAGTCAGAAAGAACTTCCCCCCCTCCAAAGGCCACAGGGTCATCGACCTGTTTGGCAACAAGAGCTTTAGGGGGTACTAAAAAAGTGTACCTATTCTTTTCTTCAAGCCTTCAGAGCTATTTCTGATTTTAATAAAAATCTTAAGCACACATAGAGTATATTTCAGTAACATCCCGTGAAAACCCTTCTTGACGTATACCTGAAATGCAGGTGGCTGAACAGACTAGCAGTCCAGTAAGAGCGTCCCAGAGAGTCCCAGTAAGAGTGAGCATAAGAAACACCAAATTCTAAATTTTTAAACATGTCTTAGACAAGCAATGCATTCGGTACAGGTAAGTAGACAAATATACTTCCAGTCACAGTGGAATTTTGTGCAAGATCTGAGAAGAAATCAGTACCTAGAACATCTTCAGCAGGACTCTCTTTTTCAACTGCTAATAATTGAACATAAAAACAAAGTCCAATCATTCCCAACGAAGATTAACACAAAATTCATTTATGTCTTTAGTGGCAATGTCAGTTTTAAAATCTTTCACAATCAGCATAACAGAGGCATCAGGGCAACACCAAGTAGTATCAATCAAGGTTTTGAACAAAGGTTACTATAATGGAAAGGAGTTTGATTTGATGCTGGTGACTGTCTCTCTCTCCACTAATTCTTCATTTTCCCAGGCAATTTAATCTGTGAAGCCACTACATTGCCCTGCAGCCTTTATCCCTGGTGTGACAGCTACACTCTCCCCTTCTTGCTGGAAAAAAATGGAACCAAATGAACACAAAGAAAAGAGTAGTCAAAAGTAAGGCCTAGAGCATTACAAGAAAAACAGAGCAGCAGATCCTTGAAGCAGATATGATGAAAATGTTCCTTGCTATTTTTGATATTATTTGAGGTTGCATATATTTAGCATCACAATTCTGCCATGATGTTGGTATATTCCTTTCTGTCCTCTGCCAAGTATTGATTATGCAGAGGAAGAAAAAACTGGTATCTTAGAAAATTTTACACACTTGACATGGAAAAGTCATAACGCCAAAATCTATTGTTCTTTCAGTGGTTCTTTACATCTGTTGTAACCCAGCTATTTTTCTTCCTACTAACCAGATTCAAAAAATAACCCATCCAAACGAACAATTTGGGCACCCAATGCATTTTCTTACCATCTTAAATATAAACAAAATTCCTGAAGTTGGGAAGATTTTAAACATCTTTCACATCCAGCAAGAGTACTATATCACCAGGGAGGGTTATGAAACCATAATTAACATGTATATTAAAAAAATCTGTGTTTAATTTGCCATTTATATGATAATTTCTATTTATTTTTAAAAAACAGTGGGTGCCACTATGTTCTCTGAAGAATCTAACTTCTTGGTGAATACTTTTCTCCCTGAAAAAGTAGCAAGTTAGAAGTAACTTTCAGAATTATATTTCCAGAATTTGCAGCCTAATTTCAATCAAGTCCCAGATCAGGAGTTATACTAAAAGTGTATTACTCCTCAAGTCATTCAAGAACAATTTCTTGAACAGAAAAATTGAAACTTTGACACACAGCAGCTATTTTTTTATTACATCTGAATGGTCGAAATACTGGATACTGGGTTTCTAGTCTGGAGAATGGCTACAAAATAAGCCATTTTTTGTCACTTTTACTGAAGAACATAATTATTTACAAACAATTAGGCTGCACTGGTGAGCATGAAGAGAAGGACACTCTTTTTGGCCTTTGGGAGATGACATCTAAGTTTGTGAGATGGCAACTGGTATTAGCCTCCCCTGTAGAAGACAGACTGAATTCAAACAGGGCCACCAATGTGAGAAGCTTGAAGCAAGTGACATCTGGGGATAGTCTGCAAGAACTGCATTTGTTGGGCCCTAAGAGAGACAGCAAAGAGGGAATCTTATTGCTGCCTACAACTACCTCAAGTGAGAGTACAGATGGAGCCAGATTATTCTCAATTATGAGATGTATAAGAAGTTGGAAAATAGGTAATTTCAATTAGATGTAAAGTAGATTTGTGAGGCCTGAAGGTTTCTCAGGGGTTTTCTTATTCTTTTTACCATGAAGATGTGGCAGGTTGCCTGGGTTGCCAATTCTCATAATGTTTTATCTATTATGCTTTTATCTTCTACAGAATCTATACTGCGAGTGTTATTGAGATGTCCAGAAAGAAAATATCATGGAAGTATTTTATGGAAACTAGACAGCTTCTTCTGACAAACACCAAGAGGACTCTAGAGCTTACATACTAGCAGGAGATCGTAGTGGTATCATCAACCTTAAAGGAAGCAATTTCCTTCAGATCATCTGAGTTAACACCTTTGCTCCACAAAGACTAGAATGATACAATAAAATATGCTATCAGGTCAAGTTCTGTGAAATTTGTTAACCACCTTTGAAACAGCTTAGTAGAGCTACTGTATGTCAGGGTTATCAATTGTTCCATGTTAAAAAAAAAGCAGCTCACTAATTTATATTGAAATTTATGTAATTACTGTTACTGTTGCTATACATAGCAAATCTTGGATTTACAACATGTTCTAATACAGATTTCTTTATTCTTTGTACCTTCATCCATCTCTTACATGAGTTTGGAAGAGATCAAACATCTCTAACGTTGCTCAACTACTGGGCAATTACAGAAGAAAGGCCAAAACTAGAACAAATATTGAATTCTCAGTAAGTACATACATGTATTTGGTTCCTGGACTTTAGATTAAACACCTTCATAGATTCAGAGAGTCATTTTGGTTGAAAAAGACCTGTAAGACCATCGAGTCCAACTGTAAACCTGACACTGCCAAGTCCACCACTCAACCATGTCTCTTAGTGCCACACCTACACATTTTTTAAATACCTCCAGTGATGGTGACTCAACATCTTCCCTGGACAGTCTGTTCCAATGCTTGATAACACTTTTGGTGAAGAAATTTTCCCTAACATTCAATCCAAACCTTCCCTGGTGCCACTTGAGGCTGTTTCTTCTCATCCTCTCTCTCACTTGATATTTGGGAAAGAGACTGACACTCACCTGGCTACAACCTCCTTTCAGGCAGTTCAATTCCTCTGTTTGCAAAGTGATGCTTTCTATACCTATCACTTATCATCTGTCTCTTTAGTTTCCTTGAACAATTAAATAAAACCTGTAAAATTCTTCCCATCATCCTTCTCTAAGAGTAATGTCCAAGGCTAGATGGAAGGCTGGTGTTTGTATCTCCTTGCCTCAGATTCTGGAAAGGCACAATGGCCTGGCCTAGTTACATAAATGCTGTGCTAGAATCCACCAAACTCACCCCATAAACTCATTTTTCATTCTGTAGAGGGACTGTAGAGGGATCATAAAGTTTTCAGATTAGGAGTTTGGTGGTGCTTATTTTTTTTCTCCTGGGAGCAGTAAGGAGATATCTGTAGTATTTATTCTATCACAATAAAAATAACATCATAGATATGATTTAGACTCTGTGTCAATGCTAAGGACTTTATGATTTTATTGCTTTTTTTAAATTATCTTCCCAAACGAGAAAGGCTTTAAAGGGAAGATCCACTGTTTATGCAAGTTTTGGACATAATAAAGGATCCTTAGATTGAAAATACACACTAAGATAGAAATAGTATATCAGATAAAGATTAGCATCCTAGTGCAGTTTCTGACTGGAGCTACCTCACCATATATAAGTACACTTATATTCTACTACTGCTTTGCCATTAGAATATTCTCAATGATGCTGTTATTTTTTACTAAAAAAGTTTTTTTCTGTAGCTGTATAAATTTTCAAACATAAAAGATCATGCAGAAAAATGCAGGCTTCTCCTTGTGGCAAAGCCTCTTTTTGACCATGAATAGTGATGGGATCAGTTCCAAAAAAACCTCAAAAAATATCAATTAAACAAAGTAACAAAACTACTTCAAGAAGCACTTGTATGTTTTGGAACATAATGGATTTGAACGTAACAGTTTTTCCACTGAGGTATGGTAGGATTTCCCTGCAGGGAGGAACTGTAGTAGGTCAAACTCTTGGGCATTCTGCTAAGTCTTTGAAAAGATATCTTCCCCACCAATTTTGTTGCAGTGTTGCAGGCAGCAGAATGAAGTAGTGCCCATCACAGGAAGAGGGAAATGCAAAGGGCTGCCTGTCCCGTCTTCTCCTACTGGGGATACATGATCATGACCCTCCCTTTGTAATCACAGAGCACTCTTTTCAAATAGAAATTTCATCTTTCTCTTTAACATCGACAACCCCATTTAATAAAAGGTGTTTCAGTAGAAATTAGATGAAAACCTCCTACAATGACCTAATATTTCCCTATATTTATTGATGTCACATAAGATATCAATCATATTTTTTCACAGTTGCATCTGACTTCCCTGGTTGTTTGTAAGTGATGAGTCCTTAGCTTACAGCAGGGGTTATAGATTTTGAGGGAATGACCTTACATTTCCTACCACAGAAGTTCATCATAGTCTTCAGATTGTTCAGCTTGTTCAGTCCACTAAGCTGATCTACCATTTTAAACAGAACATCACTGCTTTGCTTTGCTTGAAACTCACATATTTCCACATTTAGAAGCCATAAGAATTCAAAACCTGCCCATGAACTTCAGGGTCACCATCTCCAGGAAAGTGAGTATCTTTCTTTCAGAAAAGGCCACAGAAGAAAACTGTGTAAGAAAAATAGTCACACAAGTATAAAAATATATGCTATCAAAACTAGATAATAGTATGATTTTTCTTTCTTTTATACAAGCAAACCAATGTCAAACTTTTGGAATCAAAGCAAAATGATTTTTTCCTCATGAAACAATAAAATGTTTCAAACTGCCTGACATTCAAATGTTAAACTCAGGTTCCATAAACTAATAGTTATAATGCCATGTTGTCTTCAACTCTATTTCAATGTTTTACATTTCATGTAAGGCAGTTTTAGAATGTTTAAGACACATTGAAGTATTTTGGCAAAACAAATGGTAAGTATTGGTTTTATGCAGAGATTCCTTAAGCAGCTATAATAGTGCTTAGAAAAATGATATCTGATACAATAAAAGGACATTGTATTGACAAAGCGTTATCATTAGAATATATAGAAGAAAGAAGAAAATACTTACAGATTTTTTATGTCCACTGCTCCTCGGAATGCCTTCCTTGGTATTGCTTGAATTTGATTTTCACTAAGATCACTAAGGAAAAAAAATAAATTAAATGTCAAAATGCCATATATATATTTAGTTCTGTGTAAAACACAAAGGAAATATATGAAAATAATTTCAGTCATTAGTGTTCAGTCAGTGTTTTCAATTAAGCTTATTTTATTTCCTTAACTGATTTTTAATTGAAGAAAAACAAGTAGCAATAATAGTCAAATTAGTTTATCTGTGTTCCACTAAGGAGTTCCTTTACAAACAGCAACATGTATGCCAAACAAATAATTTAACAGTGAAGGCAGAAATTATTTAATTTTTAACTGGGTGTTTTCACTTTTCAACCATTCCAAATCCATGACATTAAATGTTTGATAGTATGTTCAGCTTTATGTAAGGAAGACTGAACTCCAGCAAAACAAACAAATAGTGAGATGTTGAGAAACAACTATGAAGCTGTGTAATATGAGAGATCAATATGTTTCTGATTTTTGTTTCATATATTTTAAAAGAAAGCACCATATATTTTAAAAAAAGGCATTAAAGTCATCCTGCAGCAGATATCTCATGTTCCTCCCCAAAATCCCTGTATGACCAGCTGTACCACATTATCTGAAACTATTATCTTTTACAAAAGAGAAATAGTATTAAATATATTACAAAATTATTATTCAGTAATATTTTTTTGTTATCAGTATGAATAAACAGCCTTTTTTTTCTGAAATTCAGACACATTTTTGTCCTTCACAGTTCCATACTGGAAATAAAATCTTAAAAACTGTAATAAAGACAGTAGCAGAGGAGACACAAAACAAAAATAAACTAGAATCCAGAGCTTTTCATTTATGCTATGCACTGTTAACAAGCAATGCAGCACAACAGAAGATGATCAATGCATTAAAGTCAGTTTGGAGGTTTCATTTCAGACAATAATTTGCTTCCCTGAACCAAACACACCTATTACACAATGTACACAAATGTTTGAAGGCCTTCAAAGGGACCTTGGTGTATTAAAATTAAGAAGTCAGACCTTCTTTTGGAAGCCCTGTGAGATGCATCTACCTATACACAATATGGGGAACACAATTAATTTCATTAAGAAGTTTGCTTGAGCATCTGACTAAAATGTACAAACAAATAAGTAGCATAGAGGTGTCCCTACACAGGGATTTTCAGTCCATTTGCACAGCAGTTTTCTTGTGGTTAATTAGCTTTCATTTTGCTAAAACCAAACAAGGATCCGCAGTCCAAAAGCAAACCAAATGCAATCCAACTCCTAACAGAAGTAAAGTTTTGCTATGCCTTGCATAGAGACATCTTTAGACGACCTATTTTAGAGAAAGCTTTTAGGGAAACATTGCAGAACTGCACATAGAAATAAGAGATCTAGCTCAGATTAGGTGAATAAGCAAGAATCATTTAGCTGATTAGACACAAACGGTCACACTTCTGACATAGTCCTTCTCTAAAACGTAATCTAGCACGAGCTCATATTTCCAGTTCTGAGCAATCACTCCTGAAGATCTTTCAGATTTATGAACATGCAAAAAATAATTTGAGGACTTTATAAAACCCCATACTCCCCAACTTAAACAAAATTAATATAATTATTTTGAAAATAATTCCACATATATTGACAGCAATTTTGTTTTATTCAATTCATTGTTAATTTATGGAAAATCACTCTCTATTTACTAAATTTTTCACAGTTCACGCACCTAATTGCACTGCAAAGTATACTTAAAAGTAGACCCAATTTTACTACTATTAGTCATGTGTGAAAAACAGAGAATCTGTGAGCTGTGATTTAATTTTCAAGCCACCTAAGTAATCTTGAAATGGGATATAACTGCATTGCTCTGACAATAAATTCAGTGGCAATGAATGTAAAAGCAGCCTTCAGCATTTGTTACGGTAACATGATTTAACAGCCTACTTCCTTGAAAAAAAATTCCCTTATAAGCATACAACACAAATATCTATATTTACACTTCTCTTTAATTGACTAATACACTTTACCTATATCAAAATTGTGCGTGAAGTGGTTAGACTAGCAGTTGGGATTTGTATCATGTTAGTTTATAATAGAGATGTATGTATATATCCATTGCTGTACTCATAAATATATACTGCAGGAGATAATGGGTAACAGTGCATTAAGTTTTTTATGGCATTTGATAGAGTATCATCATTCACCATTTTATATAATTTAAAAAAAGTGGAAGATGAGCAATATTGAGACAATACATAAATTATTTTAAAAAATCTAATAGAAAATATCAATGATCAAAATTTTTCTTTCCTTGCCTAAAGGCAAGTCTTAGCACAAACACAGCGACTTACAAGTGACAGCTATTGTGCCAGGTTCCTCAACACACAGTACACCAAGGTTGTATGCTTGCATAGGTACATCTGTGCATATGCATGTGCAAAAACAGCGGACTAACTTTTTGCATGCTAGATTTACTGCTGGGTCCACACAGTTAACACCATCTCCATGTAGCACGGGCTCAAGAAGACTGAAGTACAGTGTTCCCTGCTAATTTTAGCACATTTCAAATGTAAACTACTTGACTGCAAATGTTCCCAACCTCGCTATACAAGGCGCTGTTTAAAGCATCCCTCTAAATGTGGAGAGCTAAGTAAGGTTGGCATATATTGTTTTCCAAGAGTAATTTTCTGCAATGTATCAGCTGCATTTGTAAAACCTTCTTGGAACTGTTTCTGTAACAAAAGTGTAAGTTCATTTCTACACTACAAAATTCTACCTCTCATAAAAAATATCATTTTCAACACAAAACTTATGTCTCATTATAGCAGAAAAGTTTTTAGTAATTATTTATTGATTGCTTCAAGTTTTCATCTGCTCCGTCTAAAACGGTTTCCTTATAAAAACCTTGAGGGGTTTAAACAAACATTCAGCTTTTTCTTGCATAAATTATACCTATATTTCACGACTCAGAAGCTGCTGTGTGGCCATTTTTATTAATGTTTGAACCCCTTCCACTGCAATTCTTGGACAGTTCACAAAAAAGGTCACAAGCAGCATAAGGTGCACTGTGACTTTCAGGGGAAATGGGGCAAAAATCTATTTTGTAGGTAAACCCAGACAATTTGCAGGTCATTACATTACATTGATTTGACTTTGCAAATTATATTCTGCATTGGAGAAAGGTGCAAATCTCCTTTTCAGCCTGATGGTCATTGTTTTTCTGCAGTAATAACTACGAAGACTTCAGCTCCCATTTCAAAAATAGGCAGCACTTGAATATAAATTATGATGCCACTTGGTACCCCTAAATTTAAAGAGGGTCAATAAAATTTAAGCCATGAAATGAAACATCCTACTTTTACAAGAAATTAATTTGTATTTCTGAAAAAAAGGCATGAACTTGCTTCACATTCGAAAGCAGCAATCTGACCAAGACATTTTCATTGGAACAAATTGTTCTCCATTATTATTACAGCCCAAGACCTTACATCAAAATCCATCATCCCTCTGCTGGAATAGCACACTTGATTAAAAAATCCTTTGTATACAGCTAGAGTGAAAAAGACAAGGCTATCCCACAGAATTTTACTTTTTTTTAAATAGAGCACAATGATCTGGCAAGATGTTTTGACAAATTCATTTCTGTGCAGATTCTAGCTGTCACAGAGACCTCTTTCAACTAAGTTGTTCTTGACTCCATTATATCATTCCTAGAAAGATATATTCCCAATTATTAAGTCTGAAGTAGAGTACCTTAGACTTTCAAGAAAATTCCTTAGTGCAACTTTGTGGGTTTCATTAATGTCACTCTCTGGTGGGCAGAGCACCTTCATCCCATATCTCCTTGCTCTGGCATTACTAAACCTGTGCTCAGGACCAGGTGTAACTTCAGTCTCTCTGAATGTGAGATGTTCTCAAGGAGAGCACTCAGGTTTGCTTCTTCAAATCAAAAGGTGGCACTGTAATACTGGGGTTAAATAGAAGATTTGCACACAAAAGCCACCTGGGCAGATTAGGCTGGCAGGAGCTGATACAGGCTCTTTTTAGAGGAGCCACAAATGAGCACCACTGCTGCTCTAGATGCAACTGAACCAACCTAGTTACAGGGGTTTGTTTCAGGTATGTTTAAACTGTATACATGTCAAGAATTCTTCTGAGTTGTAATATTCTGGCTGCAACCTCATTTTCTCAAATGTAAAACCAGAATACCAGAATCCATACACCAAACAAAGCTGAATCCCACTCTAAATGAAGATACACAGAGCAGAATGCACAAAGATTCCTGAACTTTTGTCCAACTACAGCAATTCTTTGAAAAACTTGCATACCTTTTTTTTCCCCCACAGAAGGTCAGGTGTATTGTTCTAAATCAGAAACTAAATATGTTGCATGTGAATAAATACTACTTCTTATAATTAACATAGTCTATCCAAGTATTCAAACTCATCAATAAAACCAGAAATACTACAGATCCTCTAAGGTCTGCAATCAAGTAAGTCCTGGAATTACTGTGCTTATGTAAAATATAATTTATTTTTAAACAAACAGGATCAAGGCAATTTATATGCAATATACACTGATAAGAACATATGCCTCAGCTTTTAAACAAATCTCCAAAGATTAAAGATTTCATTCTGATATTCTGACAAAGCAATTTGACTTCTCTAATTTGAAATTATGCCTAAAAGAATGTAGATTTCTGTATTTCACAAACCAATGAAATTGGAAAAAAATTAATAACACCCTCAAAAAACCCTTCACTCCATCCTCCCCCAAAAAGCAGCTTCATTTTATGTATTCAGTTATTTATTTTTTCCTCATAATACATTGGTAATCATAATGCATTATGCTTTGTGGAAATGCATAAAGACCTTGCTGAAAACCTTGCTACTACTGAATCCTTCGTAAGAACAGGATGGAAACAGCACATTTCTATTTATCATATTTACTGGTTAGTAGATAGAAGTGTATCAGGGAAAAAACTCCACAGCTTAGAATCCTGTGAACATCTGAAATTCATATCAATAGAAAATAATAACCTATCCTG